CTCCATGTTTAGCAGTTTGAGGAACCTCCAAACAGTTTTCCATAGTGGTTGTACTAGTTTGCATTCCCACCAGCAATGCAGGAGAGTTCCTTTCTGAAACCTTTTTAAGAGATTTTAAACTGCTAATGTAGACAACCATTGACTTGCATTTAGCAGGAAACATACTTCCCGAGAAAAGTGATTCAGGTAAAGGCTTAAGGCAAACAGTACTTACCTTTGTCAGATTTCATAATCCAACTTCCTGGTTTCCCTTCCTGGCCACTCTGTGGGTGTCCCCAGGACTCCATCCTTTGCAGTTTCATTCTCTTCATTGCCCTTGGTGAGGCCTTGTTCTTTCTGGCTTTACCACTGTTTGGGGGCATGTATGGCTCCCGCACTTGGGGCTTGGCTCCAGGCCTCTGCTCTAAGATCCAGTCCATTGTAGATGTTGGACAAAGACCCCTCATTGTCCCTCAATGCCTCACCCATGGTTCAGCTGGCCTCCTCTTCCCCTCAGACCTGCTCCTACAAGCCTCTTACTGCATTTGATCCTCATGAGCCTCTGGGTGGAAAGGACCCGAGGAGCAAGCATTCTGTCTCTGAGGTTTACAAGGAGCAGGGTGCTAGCCAGCCGGCTCCACATTTGCTGACTCTATTGCTTTAGGTTTTGTCCGTTGTAGGAGTGGAGTTTTAGAGGGAAATATGAGACTTTGAAGAGAGCAATTCTGCAGCCTGCCTCCTTGCTGCTTCTCTCATGCCACCTGCTGGGTTCCCCAGTCAGCTTCTGATCGGTGGAGTTCCCCTTCCAGATCCCATCCCAAATTGCTCAGCTCTGCTCACTGCCAGCAGGGTTCCAGGACCCGTGAAAGTCGGGTATCCAGGTGGTTGGTTCTTTTCATAGGTCCTCATTACTTGGGTCTCTACAGATCTTTATGAATTTATTTATGATGTTAATTTTACTTTTATCCCTTTGTAGAGTAAATGTGTTCTTTGATTCAAGTTGAGAAAACGGAAAGGCTGACGTGCTGTCCTTTGCCCCTATCTGTTCCCTTAAGGCTCTGCTGAGCAGCTGCTGAGCCCCGAGTGTTGGAAGGCTACTCTGAGGGCCCTGGGCTGCTGCGCCCCGAACTGCCAGCAGGGGGCAGCTTCTGCAGAGAGCTCGGTGCTTCAAGGCTCTTCAGATGTTCTCCTATCAGACAAGCAGGTTTGTCACATTTGGTCTGTAGTTTTATCTGTGCATTTATTTTTCATTTCCATTGATAGTTACTTTTTAAATGGTTGGAATAAATTCACAATTTATATTTAAAAGCTGCTTTTTTGTTGTGCATTGAGAGCCCAGTGGTTTTTCTTTTTCTTCTTTTTTTTTAATCCTTTGTTTCCCTCCAACCCCACTTTATACAGATCACCTTTCTGTCATACTTCAGAGTCTACTTCTTGACCATCTGTCTGAGATCAGCCCGGGCCAACCACCTGTGTATACCTTCCCTTCTCACCTTACCCTTGTGATTCTTAACCTTTCACCACTAGCCCTTCGGTCAGGATTCCATGCTGTGCCCACAGAGCTGATGGCTTCATCCAGTTTATATAATATGGCCTACATGAGAATGCCCTTGAAAGGATATGTTCCTATGCTTTGGAGAGTTTGAAGTTGGCTGATTTACTTTTCATGTGCTCACAACCCCTGAAACTCTGCTGCAATTAGAACCTTCCACCACACCATACTGTGCTGAATGGACATTCGGTGTGCATTTTTTTGACCGATTGTTCTCTTCCAGGTAATGGAGACTATCCAGTGGCTCTCAAACTTTTTCTACAAACTTCGGTTATCCACCTTGGACTTTAAAAGCTTTGGCTTATTCTCGAAATGGAATCCTTATATGTCTGATATAGAGACACTTTTGGGCTATCTTGTAAAAAGACTGCTTGACTCTGAAGTGACCTGCTTGGCCCAAGACCCATCTGCCAACAGCAAAACAGGTAATACACAGTAGTGCTAAATGGAACTAGGCATTCTGCTCTTCCATTAGAAAAGACTTGCGTAGATACATTAAGAGATTTAAATCTTTGTGATTAAACTATTTATCTGATGTCAAGGAAGGAGGAAATAGAGGGTACAGGTGTGAACCCATATATGTGTCATACCTATTTTTCCGTACAAAGTGCATGCTTGTCCCAGCTTGTGGTCTCTGCCCCTCTGTAAGGTGGGGTACAAAGAGATGGGTTTTAATCTCTAAATTTCTTCACATTGCTGAGGAAAGTGTTCCTAATAGTTAAGCATTTATCTTAAAAATAAAAGTATGGTAGAAAATGATCCATTAACCTTAGGCTGTAATAGAAATTCTTCAGTTGAAGAAAGTCCATTGCAGCAGAAAACACAAACATACTTAATCACACTAAACTTGTCTTTTTTATATCAGCATTGGTTTATGGCTGTATAGATAAGCAGACTTTAGTTTTATCAGTGATGTTCACAGAGGATGAACTTGTTTTTTGTCTCTAAAAATCTTCCTTTTAGTGCTGAGATCCCTGCACTCAGTAATCATCCAGCTCTTTAAGCCATGGATTCTGGTTTTAGAGGACAATGAAAGGTAAATTGTCTTTGAGATATTAACATTCCTTTGAAATTTGTAGACTTAAATTTTGGTGGTGTTTTGATACAGGTGATATAGTCACAGATTTCATTTTTAGTTGTGGAATCATATTTAAATTTAGACAATGTGCCTTGACAGGAGAAACAGACCCTTTCTTTTTGTGGAATTGTTAGTGTGGTTGATCAGACCTGTTATCTTGATATTAACTTGGAAGCAAAACTGGATCCTTATTCCAGTTTTCCACAGTAAATAAGTTGAATCAGTTTGGGTACTTAATTTCAGAGCAACATTTGTTGTCAGATCCTGAATTAGAATTTGATTCTATATAGGCTATGTACAGTATATCTGTAATATATGTAATTATATATGTATTATAGTAACTTGTTTTTGTCTAGTACCTCTGGATCAAACAATGTTCAGTCATTTTTTGGAACTAAATTAATTTTCAAATTATTGAGTGGCAATTACCCTTTGAAATGAACTGTGCAATGAAATGAAAATGAAACTATTATTTTATGAACATCTGAGATAGAATTATAGAGCTTTCCAAATGCAGTGGATTGCCTTTTTAGTCTTTTTTCCCCCCTAAAAGTGTACAATCAAAAGCTAGCTGAGCTTATCGGGAGTTTTGTAAAAGTTACACGGTGGTAGATATTTAAGGTGTTTTCACAAGTAGTTTTTAATCTGAATTCCAAAATTCAGAAAATGTGAAAGTCTTGCTCAATTCCCATACCCAGTGAGGGCCAGAACTAAGACCAGAGCTCAAGGACTTTTGACTCCCATGTCTGACTCCCATGTCAAGACTGTGTTAACCCCGCTCTTTGCTATATGTTGAGGAAAATAGAAAAGACTGGAACTTTGCATTTGCTAAGGGCTCATTATTTGATACTGTGCAAGCTTCAAGGTCTATGGACCATTATGCAGGCTGGCTGCTGATTTCTAGGAAGAATTAGTGGAATTTATTTTGATATGGAACTTCCTAGACCAGATTCAGAAATTAAAATTTTTATGTAGAGAGTTTATTCTTTTGTTATTTCTGATCTGTTCATTGTTGGTCATCTTATTTGTTAAATGTGTCCATTCTCCTTCCTTCCCTTCCTTTCATCCTTTAGGGAGAGAAAACTGTCAAGGTTTTTGAAATGAAACCAAGATACACGGGGATCGATTCAAGGGTGTCAAAGGTGTTAATTTGATAGTTATTTAGATAACACATTTCCCAAACTTAATTGCATTGGAATAAAGATTAGAAAGGAAAGTAAATAAAATTATATAGTTGATACTATACGCTACCACTCACCTGCAGCCTTTCAGGTGATCTAAGTGTGTGTTAGTGCCACGTAACGGCCAAAATGGCTTTCTAGGCCTCAGGCACGCCTAAACTCTGCGTGCTAGAGTTGTTTCATTGCAGCGCTTTCTGTTCTTTATTTGCAGCAGCCAGCGGCATTACCCCTGGCTGGAGAGTGATGCTGTGGTGGCCTCAAGCCTTGTGCAGCTCTTCACAGACTGCATTGACTCATTGCACGAGAACTTTAAAGGTAGGAGAACATTACAATACGTCTCCAGCAGGTTTTCATTTCTTCCAGAAGTCAAGTTAATCTTTTGTCGCAGCTTTCCTACTGTATTCCAGTTTATTTTAGTTGGTAACCAGTCATCTTTGACCAATGAAAGGCCCCGACACAATTGTTTAATGTGAAGTTTGTAACTTCTTACATTATTCACGAGGTTGCTCTGAGTTTCATCGGCTACAAAAAATACGCAGCTATCTCTTGTCAAATATTGTCTCTTTCGTGTTGAACCTCGCTCTGTCTTCTATGACTTAATTTCTTTCTCACATTTTTGATCTTCCTGCTTTATTTTGGGCAGTTTCTTAAGGCTTTGCTTCAGTTTATTCATTCTCATCAGCTATAACTAACCTGTCAGAAAAAAAAACTATTGAAGTTTTCATTTCAATTTCTAGATATTTGTTTTTTAAATGTAGCCTGACTTTTTTT